AATCCAAGCTATTTCTGTCCTATTCTTTACACAACTTTTTTCAGTATAAATGTTTCCATCCAAGAAACTGGTCAGTAAAGCCACCAATAATATTCCCTGTGGAATTTATGAATCATGAATCAATCTGGATCTGAATCCTGAGATGCATCATGAATTGACTGAGTTTTTTTGTTCTAAATAATGAATCTTTTCAAACTCTTCACAGTCATCTATAACATGACTGGTCCTCAGAAACAGTTTGACCTCTTGCACTTACTGTATAGAGGAGGTCTGATATAAATTCTATCTACATCATAACTTGTTTCCAATAGTCTGTGTTTTCATTGGTGTCAACCCTAAAATTTCTCTTTTTAGATCTTTCACATCCTCTCATTGCCTGAAATATGGCATGGATATGTTTATGTTCAGTTGGACCTGCTATTTGAATAGATGCATAATTAAATTTAATTGTCCAGATGTCTCACCTACATGCTTTGGAATTGTGCACTTCATTATTAATCCCCTTAAAAACGCAGTATGTTTTGCCCCATTACTTCTATATCTTGTGCGACCAAGGGCCTTCATACTTCTCAGGACCGTAGGAAGTTCAAAGCAGACGGGTAGAAGTAACTCTTATTCTGAGTTTTCTTTGAAAAAAAAAATTCATAAACAAATATAATTGACCTTGTTTCACTTCTCAAGTTCCCAAAGTCATCTGGCAGACTCATCCCACTGCATTTTTAAGGTATTACTGAACATTGAACAGTGGTTTTTGAGCTGCCACAGCAAACTCTACTTTGATCCTGCTGTTGGATGTCATCTTCTACAAAGCACAGACTTTGGATAAGTGTCTGACACAATAGAAATAGCAATAGGCCAAACTTCTACCTAACATTGTACTTTGCAGATCAAATGTCCCTTTGCAATTTCGTCATCCACATCCTTACAGGGGGGCAAGAGTTGGGGGTGATTGCATTCTAGACAGAACTGAAGCATTACAGGCCTATGAACTTATGTTGACTATAGGCTATGCATTGTTTTTTCTTGGTCTAAAATCGACTTGCTTTTTTGGGGGAGGGGATGAAATGAGATATTCTTGTCACTAGGTCTAATTGTCATGAATCCTTTTCTTCTGATAGGTGAGATTGTATGAGTGCTGCACAAGGAGATGAGTTGATATAAGCCTACTGCATCTTCCAGTTAAAACCATTATTGTGTCAAGAATAGATTTGGGTTCATTTGTCCTCCTAGATAAGCTCCCAAGTGAAAGTGCTTAGTTCTGCTGAACATGGCTACCACGGAAAATTATGAGGAGAAACCAAGGACTCTGTATGTTGGTAACCTGGATCCCTCTGTGACAGAGGAGTTAATATTGGCGTTGTTTGGCCAGATTGGCCCTGTGAAAGGTTGTAAGATCATCCACGAAGCAGGAAATGATCCATACTGCTTCGTGGAATTTGCTGACCACCCATCAGCAAGTGCTGCTTTGGCTGCAATGAATAAGAGGCACTGCCTTGGAAGGGAGATGAAAGTCAACTGGGCCACGTCACCTAGTAGCACCCCAAAGGCAGATATTAGCAAGCATTTCCATGTGTTTGTTGGTGACCTGAGCCCCGACATAGAGACACAGACACTTCGCGAAGCATTTTCTCCTTTTGGAGAGATATCCGATTGTCGGGTTGTCCGAGATGCTCAGACGCTCAAGTCAAAGGGATATGGCTTTGTATCATTTGTGAGGAAAGCTGATGCAGAAGCAGCAATTAATGGGATGAATGGTCAGTGGCTTGGGAGCCGTAACATCCGCACCAACTGGGCTACAAAGAAGCCTCCACAGCAGAAGCAGGACTCCCAGAAGCAGCTCACATTCGAAGAAGTATACAATCAGAGCAGTCCCACAAATTCAACAGTATACTGCGGGGGTATCAGCTCGGGCCTCACGGAGGATCTCATGCAGAAGACGTTCTCCCCTTTTGGAACGATTCAGGAAATCCGTGTTTTCAAGGACAAAGGTTATGGTTTCATCAGGTTCACAGCCAAAGAGTCTGCTGTCCACGCCATCCTTGCAGTCCACAACACTGAGATCAATGGATACAGCGTGAAATGCTCCTGGGCAAAGGAAAACACCGACCATTCATCTGCCAACAGCACCCAGCAGACGCTGGCTGGTGCCCAGTTCCCTTATGCCTATGGCCAGCAGATGGGTTATTGGTACCCACAGGCATATCCTCAGCTGGGAGGCCAGTTCCTTCAAGGAGTGCAGGGATACCCCTACAACCAATTTGGATATCAACAGGGATATGTTGACTAAGCTCTTCCTTCCCCTGGTCTTGTTACCCACATGCAGTGTTTCTTTTTCTTTCCTAAATTGCCTCAACCATCCCTTCCCCTTTTCTTTCCTTTCCTTGTCCCTTGTTCACTGGTAACTGTTCAGACTGGAGTATGACTGCTCCTCAGTGATACAAAGAATTTGGCTTCAACTTGCATTGTATAGTATGTCTGCTGGACCACTGCGAAATAAGGAATGCAGTGGGGAAATTTTAAAGCTGGTGTAAATATGACACATAATTAATTGTTTGGGATGAAACTGTGAACATCTACTTCATGCTTTGTGCTGTATTCAGTGAATGTTTACGTGGAAAAAGGAGGTGTAAGAAATACTCAGAGTGAACCTTATGTGACATGAACAATATGATTGAAATTGAAAGATGGGTGCACATGAAATTTCAGTACAGGTGTGACCTTACTAAGGCTGGCCCAAGATACAAAATTACAGCCTGTATCATAGAGAGTGATTTGATTTGGAAACTTGCACTGTGAAATCTTGTAGCACACTGAAAGAGTAAAAGTAAGAGTATGGCTGGCAGTTCATCTGCACAACTGTACATTTTGTTTGGAATGAAGGCATCAATTCAGATTGGTGCTCTTGTTTGTAAATGTATGCTTTGAAAATCTGAGTTGGGAAAAATATACAGAATATACCCAGATCTTGTGTATTTCCCCCACTTTTGTACTAATTCGCGAAAGCAACTACTTCTATCCTTCTGTAATGATGAAAAAATCCTGGGTAAATATGAGCATTTATTCCTGGATACAAAAGCTTACCTTAGAAATAAAATTGGTCCTTCATAATCCATATGAAAGTGCTGATGATGACCAACATTGGACACACCCTCCTTTGATTGATGCCAAGCACTCTGAAGATTCCAGTCGCATAGATAATTCTGATTCACATTTTGGACATCATTGTGATGCGTGATGAATTGGCATAATAAAATTCATGTGGACAAAATCTCAAAAAAAAAAAGTTAATTAAGAAAGAAACTCATGCCTTCTCAATGGTATTTGGGCAAAGGCAAGAGTTTACAATGAACTTCGACATAAAACACTCAGCTTGTCATTGGATTACTTGCAAGGGTAAGCTTGAAAGATAGGAAAATTACAGACTGCTAAGATAATTTAAATATAGTTTTCAAATAGGTACTTCTAATCCCATGAAGACAGGAATTGTAAACTGTTTCACTCCTTTGTTGGTGTTAAGGATACTCATGAGATGAAACATTAAGTTTCAAAATACACTGTTACTTGGTAAGCCTACAGGACCATCTTCTCCAAAAGAAAGGCAGTAAAAATACTCCAGCCTAACTTGAGGATGCTACCCTCAAGCAAATGGTGATACATTGGAAGGCTGAGGCATGTACTATGCAAAAGTAACTCATGATAAGAGCTAACTACTTATTCTCACTTTGCATCAATAATATTGACACTTAGTTAATCAATCTTTGAGCTGGTGGTGCCTATTTAACATTGCTCATTTTTTACTTGGAGAAGATGGAGAAAAGCGAAAAAGGTCAATAGATTGTGATCTGAGGTGAATATTGGATTGATTAAGAGTTCTTGGTGGAGTGCAAAACAAAGTCATAACTGCAAAGTTGTGACCTTCATTTAAGTTGATGGCACCATTACATTGGGATGGGAGAAGATAAAGCAAGGAATCTGGGGTGAAGTTAAGTATGTTTTCTATGTGAGCCATCTTCATACTGAATCAGCTCATGTCCCTAAGGCTACTTCCAGTGGAATGATGCCAACAGTTATAGTATATACCTATGCAGCAGCTAAGTCGAAAGACTACAACATCCCTTAGCCACGGAAAATGCCTTGTATAATTTTAAACATTCATGCAACGTAAGCTTTGATTAGATTTGGAAGGACCTTACAAATATCCCCAATCTTCAAGAGCACAGAAGTGTGAACACCTTAAAAAAAAGTCATGGTAATGGATTGACTTTGTAGAGGTGAAGAACTGTTTGGAATAACATTAATTTTCTTTGAATTGTTTTGAAGTCTCATTGTGGGAACAAAGTGAAGACCATCTTCAAGTTTCTTATGAAGAATGTGGAGTTAAATATATGAGACTCTCAAAAACTGCCTCAGTCAGAAGTTACCCCTGAAGATCACAGGATATTATGTTTTCAAGCAATGTAATACCAAAGTGCATTTGACAACCCTTCAAAAGTGACCAGTCTAAACCCATTTTAAGTGAAGCAGATCTCGTCTTTCATGCCTTCATTGTATCATGGTTTCTTAAAACAAAAACCCTGGAAGATGCTTTTTTGCAACCACAAATGATTGATTCTACTTGTGAGAAAGGGGGAGGGGATGCAATTTATTTTCTCCCACTCTATGGATAAATTGAAACAATAGGAAGAGTGTGTTTGCAGAGCTCCTGAAACTAAGAGAGCTGCAGCTACCAAGTATTATATACCAGAGGTTTTCAACATTTATCTTTTGTGTCCCTCTTTGAAGTCACTTATATATCATTTGAGCATCCATGCACATGGACACCTAACAGTTTGAAATTCACTGCATTAGGGTTGCATCTTCCCTAATATCAATTGCTTTCAACATTTCACTGAGGATGTTGTCTTCAAGCTCACTGAAGTTTGAGTCCCAGATTTCCATATATTGTTTTTACTTTCAGATTTAGCTCCGCTTTACATATGATTTTCTGAGGAAGAATCAAGATGCCAGTTATAGAGGTGGAATCAAAACCAATGACAATAATTTTCACTGAGGATGATGTTCCCTTCGAAGAGGAAATTCTTAGGAACCCCTATTCTGTCAAGCATTGGCTCCGGTATATTGAACACAAGAAGGAAGCACCAAAGGAAGATATCAATCTGATCTATGAGCGGGCATTGAGGGAACTTCCAGGTAGCTACAAATTGTGGTATGCCTACCTCAAGCTTCGTAAATTACAAGTGAAAGGGAGATGTGTGATTGATCCTGCCTATGATGATGCAAACAATGCATTTGAGAGGTCAATAGTGTTTATGAACAAAATGCCCCGCATTTGGATGGAGTACTGTGGGTTTCTTGTAGACCAGGGGAAGGTGACTCGTACAAGGAGGACATTTGATCGAGCCCTGAGGGCACTTCCCATCACACAACATCATCGTATCTGGCCACTGTACATCAAGTTTGTCAACATGCACAACATCCCTGAGACAGCTGTTCGTGTTTATAGGAGGTACTTGAAGCTACGACCAGAAGAGGCAGAGGACTATATCGAATACCTTCAATCTGTGGGGCGGCTGGATGAAGCTGCTCAGCATCTGGCTCACCTTGTCAATAAAGATGATTTCATTTCTAAGCATGGCAAATCTCACCATCAGTTGTGGAATGAACTCTGTGAACTGATCTCAAAAAACCCTGATAAAGTGAAGTCTTTGAATGTGGATGCCATCATTCGAAGTGGCTTGAGGAGGTACACTGACCAGATTGGACATCTTTGGAATTCTCTGGCTGACTACTACATTCGATCAGGCCTGTTTGAAAGAGCCAGGGACATTTTTGAGGAAGCCATTCAAACTGTGACTACTGTGAGAGACTTCACTCAAGTGTTTGATGCCTATGCTCAATTTGAGGAGCTGACATTGAGCAAAGTAATGGAGGGAAGTGAATCCTTGGCAGAAGATGATGTTGCAGTGGATTTGCGAATGGCACGGTTTGAGGATCTTATGGATCGGCGACCATTGCTGCTAAACTCTGTTCTCCTCCGACAGAATCCCCACAATGTCCATGAGTGGCACAAGAGGGTTAAGCTCCTTGAAGGTAAGCCTACAGAGATCATCAACACCTTTATGGAAGCTGTGCAAACAGTAGATCCAAAGCTTGCTGTGGGGAAACTCCATACACTCTGGGTAGCATTTGCCAAGTTCTATGAAGAGAACAACCAGGCTGAGGATGCCAGGCTCATTTTTGAGAAGGCTGTACTAGTGCCTTACACCAAAGTGGATGACTTGGCCTCAGTGTGGTGTGAGTGGGCTGAGATGGAGCTTCGTCATGAGAATTATGAGGAGGCACTCAAGCTCATGGGTCGGGCCACAAGACCACCTCCTCACAAAGTAGCTTATCATGATGAAACTGAAACAGTCCAAAAGAGGGTTCACAAATCTCTGAAAGTGTGGTCAATGTATGCTGACTTGGAGGAGAGTTTTGGAGACTTCCAGAGCTGCAAACGTGTGTATGATCACATAATTGACCTCCGCATTGCCACGCCTCAAACCATCATCAATTTTGGGATGTTTCTGGAGGAAAACAATTACTATGAAGAGGCCTATAAGGCTTATGAGAAAGGGATTGCATTGTTCAAGTGGCCCCATGTCTATGACATCTGGAATACTTATTTGACAAAGTTCTTGAAGAGGTATGGAGGGAGCAAGCTGGAGAGAGCTCGGGACCTCTTTGAACAGTGTCTTGATGGCTGCCCTCAAAAATATGCTAAATCTATTTTCCTCCTCTATGCAAAGTTGGAAGAAGACCATGGCCTTGCGAGACATGCTATGGCTGTCTACGATCGAGCAACCAAGGCTGTTTTGCCAGAGGAACAATTTGAAATGTTCAACATATACATCAAGAAGGCTGCTGAGATACATGGTGTCACTGCAACAAGAGAGATTTATGAAAGGGCCATTGAGGCACTCAGTGAGGGTGAAGCAAGAGAAATGTGCCTTCAGTTTGCTGATCTGGAGAGGAAACTTGGGGAGATAGATCGTGCCAGAGCTATCTATGCTCACTGTTCACAAATGTGTGATCCAAGAATGACAGCACACTTCTGGCAGACTTGGAAGGACTTTGAAATTCGCCATGGGAATGAAGACACCATGCGAGAAATGCTTAGGATAAAGCGATCTGTTCAGGCTATGTACAACACCCAGGTGAATATGATGTCTGCACAGATGCTGACAGCTGCAAGTGCTGTTCAAGGGACTGTGTCTGATCTTGCCCCTGGCTCCAAAGATGGAATGCGATTGCTGGAGGCCAAAGCAGCTGAACAGGCTCGTGAGATTACAATACAGCAGGAGATGCCCTTACCCAAGAAGGGAGGAAACATTCTTTTTGTCAGAGGTGATACAGATGCCAGAGATGATGAAGTGGCAGAGGCAGCTAGAGTCAAGAATCCAGATGAAATTGCCATTGATGATGAGGAGTCTGATGAAGATGAAATTGAAAAAGAAGATGTCCATCTAGAGAAGAAAATTGTACCTGCTGAAGTTTTTGGAGGTTTGGCTAAGGATGATGATGATGACTGATTGTTCTTTATTCCTTTTGCATTTTTTGCAAATGAATTCTTCCATTTCAACTGTCCATGTTGCTCCTTTATGTCTAGCAATTTTAAAACAGTATGCTATTTCAATGTTCCATCCCAAGAATAATTGATAAGTAGGTAAATGTCTTTCCCTTGGGGGAAAAGCCCTTTCCCTCATATATTTTGGCTGCTTCAAGATGTCTAAAAAGAAGTTAACATTGCAAAGTTCAAATTTCTTGGTATTTTTAACAGGACTTGAAAAGAAATGCTCAAATTGAAATTAATGAAAAAGATTCAGTTGAAATGGATGAAGACTTCCATTTCCCAAAGGAATCATGAACTTAGCTCAGTTCAGAAGTGAGATATGGGAGACTGAAAGTATGACATTAATAGAGACTAAAGAAGTTTAGCTGTTATTACAGTTACTGAAGGAAGTTGTTGAAGGTTTGCTCCTCCATGATGCCAGCAGACTTTCAGATGTTTTACAGGATTCTTGACTGCCTGTCAATTTCTTCCTGTACTGATTTTCTTTAGTTATCCTTGTATTTTTGCTAATTAAAGTATAATAACTAACAGCAGGTCCAGTATTGCTTGCTTTAAAGGGAAACTTTGGACAAGTAGCAAGCTGTATTCAATTGTTAGGATCACTGGATTCTCAACTAGGCAGCTCACAGTGGTTTGCTTTCATAACTGAAGTATTCTAAGGTCAATTTTGTATTTCAATATTTCACTTCATAAATTGGCAATTTAAAAAATAGTTTTCAGCATGAGTGCTTATTCATTCCTCTTCCCAACTGCTTGAAAATATGTTATTTCATCTTGATATGATGCAAAAAAAAAGCAATTTCTGGAATGTTAATTTTAATTTAGACATCCTTTATCTTAATATACTGCCCTAAATACATTTTTTTGAAAAACTCACCAGCCGAGGCATCAAGGATAGTGACAGTTCCATCAAGAACACGAAGACAACGTTCCACCTCTATTGTGAAGTCAACATGACCTGGAGTATCTATGAGGTTAATGACATGACCTTGCCAAGGGAATGTGACTGCTGCTGATGCAATGGTTATGCCCCTCTTCCGTTCCTGAAAAAAGGATTTTTTGCTAATTTTCTGTAGCTGGTGCTTTAAAGAAGTCAAGAGGTCTACACAGAAGGTCTTAATATGAGCTATCTGCTGGCAGAACTCTTGCATGCATGATACCTTCAAGAATTGAAAATGATACTCTTATTACTCTCATATTTAATGGACAAGAAAGTTTCAGGCTGCTACCTAGGGAACTTCATTCTCTCAGACTTTGTACATGAAGCACATTTCTGAACTTGTCATACCTGCTCCATGTAGTCAGTGATGGTGTCTCCATCATCCACATCTCCAATGGTTGACGTTAATCCAGAATAATATAGCATCCTTTCTGTGGTTGTTGTCTTTCCTGTGAATGCACAAATGTTCTTCCTTGCAATTTTCATACTGGCCCAATATGAACTCAAGTAAAACTTAACAAGTTCCAAGACTACATAGGGAACACTATTCTCTCCTCAGACTTTTCTTGAAGTAGGTGAAAGGTGGTTTACTTGGGAAACAGCACACGGTTTGGTGAGTGGAAAAGTGATATTTTTAATTCATACAATTGTAAGCCATGGTTTGGCCCACATCAAGTAGGCTGAAGCCCAAGTGTATTAGCAAAGGAGGTTATGGAATAATAAGAATACATTCACATAACCCTTTCCACTCCGCTTTTCCTACAGTGCTACAACTGACCCAGCTTGACATAGAAGTGGAAAGGGTTAAGTTTTCAGAATGCAACTCTCATAGGCATTAGGTAATTTCTTTTTAAGAGAATTGGTGCTTGATGGTTTCATTCACTATGAAGACCTCAGAGAACTTGTCTTCCAGTAAAAATACTTTGACAATTTTAAGCTCATAAATTACAAATGCAGAAAACAGGACATAATGCACATGTATGGATGTAATAATGCCTAATCGTTGCCCAATTTACATTACTGAAGCCTTGATCCTAACAAACCTGCATCAATGTGAGCCATGATGCCTATGTTGCGAACTTCTTCTGAAGATGCTGGTTGGCTCTTCTTCAACTGTTGGTACTTTATGACCCTTTGGGATGAAAGCCATCTCTGATGCAGAGGAAGCATCGACCTCTTACAGCAACGTATACATAGCCCTCTCACTGGTGCCACCATCCCTCACACCAAAGCCCACTCTTGGACTGTCAGGATAGAACAGTTCAGTCTTTCCATTTCTCATGCAAGTGATTCGAATGCAGTTTGACGACTGGAAAAATGGAAAGCTGCAATCAATAGGGTCTAGTTCATGTTGACAAAAATTGTCTGTGCCAAGCCCTACAAGGTCTGGATATGAAATATCCTTGTCAGCTAAGATATGGGGAAAACTTCTTGGAATTGGGTTCATGCAACCACCTGTGGACCAAATGCACCTAAATGCATTCTGCTGGTGACCATGTTCCCACAAAGTGTCCATCAACCAATTTACATAATTAACATGTACTGGGACACTCAATTCAACTGGCCCATATGAGGCAGGAATGAAATGAAATCAGAACTCATATAAGACACACCTTCAACACTGTTTTGGAGACACTTTTATTTATTATTAAGAGGTGTGGAGGGAAGGAAAAAATGACAGGAGGGTAGAAGTGAAGAAGTCACACATCCCCAAGTTGCACAATCGACTAGTCACAAAGCACAAAGGCACATTCTTCACATGATTCCTCTCAATTTGAAGTGATCACAAAGACACCAGGAATTCTGTTTCTGAATCATGCACAGGATTATTCTTGGTTGTATTTCATGTAAACGAGAGAAAAACCAACATCCCAAGAAGGCAATTTGAAGCAAGATACATTGACTTATAGCCCAATTTGAGTCGAAAAACAAGGAATACTCGTAGTCAAAAAAGGGAACATTCATCAACCCAAGTCTCACACAGTCACTAGACTGCAAAATGACTTTCAGACAAAGAGATGAATGCCATCATATTGCAGAGCGTCAAAGAGGATAGAAAAGGACCTATGGTTGCATGATAACTGGAATGGCCTATATGGAATGAAGCTGATGAAGTTGAGCGGGAGAGGCACAAGCGCTTTGGAGGGACAAGACTGGATTAGAGGTCTATAACATCTGGTGAACATCCACTGATGGCCAAACCCAGACCCCGATCACAGACGCAAGGCAACTAGTGATTGGTTTGAAGGTGTCCCTTCTCTTCCTCATCTCACTGCTGCTTCGGAGCACCATAGTAGCCACTGCCACCATTGAAGTCTCGAGAGCGATGCCTTGGAGGAATCTCATAAGTTGAGAGCTTCCTTCCCTAAGTGGAGGAAGAAGCACAACTTGCTAGTCAAGAATATCATGAGATGCAGGTCAGAATTTCCTACAGGTGCATGTTTAATCTGCTTAGCTGCTTAGCATGTAGGACTGCAAGCATGAGTTAAGCAACTGAAGGAAAATTGTAAAGGGGAGAGCATTATAGGACCTGCTGACTTTGTTTGACAGAAGTTTTACATTTTATTTAATGAAGGTACACATATGACAAGGGAGGAAAAGAGGTTTACCTGATTCATATGTGGTATGAAGAATTCTCCTGGCATGGGTTGAGCTGAATTGACCAGTTTTCCCCGTGCTCGTCCCCTTCCCCTACCCATTTGAGCCATATCATCCAAGGGCATCCTGGCTTCACCATTACCAGAGTATAGCACTCCTGGAGCCTCAGCTTCCACGATGTATGGCATTGTATTGGCATAGCTGTAGGTTGAATAAGTCATAGATGGTGGGGGGATGTGTGTGGGGAAGGAGGAAGGCAGATATGGATTGAACACTGGTGAAGCAGGCGAAGTCAGTGATTGTGGCATCATCGTTGCTGATGAGACAGCAAGAGGACTCTGAATCTGACTTAGGTAGAATGGGGGTGAATACAACATGCCCATTTGGGCTGGATTTGGGTGAATCAGGTACTGTTGAGTTATCATTGCTGGAGGGAGTAAGTTCCCTTCATAAATGTTTTGAAATGAAATGAATGGTTGAGCAGTGGACACTTGAGGAGGAAACCCCGGAGGAGGAGCTTTGTTCACTGTGGAGATGGGGCTCCCACCTACAGGCTCAATACTTGATGTTACCTGAGGTACGCTAACTGTAGGTATTGATTCCTCTTGGGGTATATCAACCACGGAACAGTCCTTTTCATTCCTTCCAAGAAACACCACTTTTGGATCAGGGGAACTTGAATTCAGGTGCAAATCAGGTAGTGGAATTGGAGGAAATTCATCAGCAGGAAAATCTGCCAACATCGATTCCTGGAGGAAGCTCAAGCCAGCTACGAGTTCAGACTCATCTTCCTGGCCAGGAATTTCAATTGGTTTCACAGGGTTTGAAAATACCAACTCATCTTGATCCCACAAATCCATGTCATCAGGCAATGTTAACTTGTGGTTCTTATCCCTCTCCTTACCCTTCCCCTCACTTCCTTCTCTCCCTTCCTTGCTGGGAAGGTTTACATCCTTTGGCTTGACTAATGGCTTTGTGCTCAGAACCAATTCAACTGGAGAAATATGAGGATCCTCTTTAAAGGGGCTCTTCACAGGCTGGAATGGAGCATTTTGCAACACCTCTTGAAAGTCCATGGATTGGGATGGAGCAGTGTGTGGTGTTTCTCTTGAATCAACTGCTTTGAATTCTCTCCTTCCTCTGGTCAGTTTTTCACTGCAACACAAAGAAACAATGCCTCCTTCAAAACAAACAAACTAGGAGAATAAATAATTATAAAAAAGTTTACATCAAATTCTCTTGCCAAGTCTTTCAGTATTCCTTCATCTTGTACACACAGTCAAATCCTATGAACCCTGCTCATAAACTTCAACTTTGTTACGTGCACACTATTTACCAATGGGGACAGAACCTCCATTCCCATGTTCAACGCAGAACACACCACCTGACGTAACGGTGAGCAGGATGAATGCCCAGTAGACCTTGTCACCCACGCATGGAAGAGATACAATTGCCTTTTCCCTTCCAATCAGGCATTGGTATGCCAAGATCAGGAAGGTGATATGTGATGCCTGCCTATAAGCACTTAAGCATGTTCATGCAGCATCAGAAGCAGGATTTTCATAGTTCGGAATCACTGAAGAACAGCAGTCCATGATCCAGATATGGCTACTCTTATCTTCTCACCTTTCAGATGATACTTCCACTGTTTAATGTGGCGGAACTGAGCACTGTTCTGGTTAGAAAACTTCCTCAAAGAAAGCCCTCTGGAGAGCTAAGATTCAGTGTGTCTACATGTACCTGCTCCCTGTTACGTTGGACAGCATGTTCTGCTTGGGAGTCTGGGAGAACAGCACCCACTTCTAAAGTGATGGTTGTAGATTGTGGTATGCACATGTATGACACCCACAACCAACTAACATCACCTCTAGCAGTGTGCACAAGACAAAGTTTGTGCAAATTAGGTATGCACAAGACGAAGGAATACCAGTCTTTCCCAAGAATGACAATAGCTTAAAATTCATAAAACCCTTCTCTGGAAAAATGAGTTTGTCTTGAGCAATCTGACAAAGAAACAGCTGGAAATTTTTTTCCTCACTAAACAAGAAAAATGGAAGACTCACAAGCGTCGCTTCTCGTCCTCAATGAGGGTCTGTTCACTGAGACGTATGGCCTGTAATATCAAGGGGTCCTCCTCCTGGTCCTTGCCACATTGATTGAACAGCATCCTACCACTTCGTTTCTCCCACACATTTTCCACAAGCACAGATGTTTGAGTCTCAGTTTCATCTGCTCTTGCCCATGGAATATCTATAGGCAAAAAATACCAATTAATTGAGTCCAAGTTCTGTTGAAAGTAAATCAAGATAGTTTTGGTGTCTCACCTTTGGGAATAGATGCCTTTGGCTGATTACCATTCTTAGGTCGGCATCCACTACTGGACCCATTGGTCAGAACCTCTGATGAAACCAAATGAGTTCCCTCTCTTACTTTCTGAGCCTCAATTTCCTTCTGTTCTTCTCTGTTGCGTTCGTTTTCCTTCCTCCGAAGCAGCTCCAGCGTCTCCTGCCTTCCCTTCCCTTTCAGGGCACTGACGTCTCCATTCATTTGTCGGCTTTAGTGCAACAAAATTGATCAATACCAAGACAATGTGATCCCAAGAGGAAAGTAGTTAGAAAAGGGCATAAAAAATGGTTAGTATGGATTAACAGTCTCATGCAATAGAGGGGAAGCTTCACAAAAATGTAAAGTCTCTGGAATATAAAGATGTTGCTTTAGATATAGTTCTACTGAATTTAGACGACTCAGCATTTTAAAAGGATGACAGCATGGCTACAAGCACAAAGCATAATCATGACAGGAAAACATAAGTTGAATATTTAACCAACTAGCACTTTTGTGTGCAAAACTAGGAAAAAAGCCTTGACTTGGATGTCTACTATCCAAAATAATATCATGTGGTTATAATATCAGAGGGATCTTATTTTGTGGTTAAGAGGCTTCTTAATCAGATCACTTAACAGCCCAGTCAATTCTGACATTGGGTGACATGCACCAGATCCATTTAACTTTACACTGATTCGTTTTCATGATGGGCATCTATGGGAATAAGTTTATCTCTTTTAAACTGATTCCCATTGGGGACCATTGTGTTTGAAGGGTTCCAAGACCTTTCCCACCTTCATGAATACATGACACAGTTTAGAGAATTACTCAAAAATCAAACTTCAATATGATTTGCTCCATGAATTGCAGTCAAGATGTGAAACATTGCCTATAGGTTTACTTCCAGTGGCTATCACTAGCCAATTTTCAACTCAACACTCAATTTCCATTTTCTGCAGAGGGTAAACATACATAAGCTCTGACAATAATACTCACTGTTTGAAATTGGTAGACCCATGCTGTTGCTTCCCAGAAGCTGGTCCATTTGAATGAGCACCTGCTTTCTTCTTCCTCTCCAATTCCAGCTTTTCAATTTCAGTTTCCCAGTCCTGTAACAAACACAATAAGCCCTGGTTTACTATGAATATAGGACTAACTATTGCCCTAAACCGAGAGCAGAATATAGCCCCATCTGCCCTTTGAGAATTTTTAGCTGACTTTTCCATCATTTAATGTGCCCTATATATTTTTACTACTTAACACAAACCAAAATTTCCTAATTACTAATGTATAAAAAGTCTGCCTTGCACCATAGCTACCAGTTCTCATTTTCTTCATGTGATGCATACTCCAAGATTTTAGATAGCAATAAAGAATCTGACAGAAAGAGGATACTACTCTTATTTTTCAAGTCATCACCAAAAAAAAATCACTCTGGGATTCAGCCTTCAAAGACAGCCTCAACATATGCCATGGATTAATGGTTATGTTTTCACAAAATTGCTCATTACATGCCACAGGAGGACTTTCAGAACAATGCAAAACTTCTGAAAACCATTTGTGGGATCTCTAGTAATGTCAGTGCCTATCAACAGACTTTTCCACCTGCCTGGAAATACTTTGAATGAAACCTCCCATTAAAATCTCTGATGCCAAAAACCACGCGGTTTACCGTGGGCCTCTGTTTGTCAATATTAATATGAAGATATGTAAGTTGGCTTTCCCCAGAATACGTGGAAGTCAGGACCAAGGCAGCTGGACCACTTAACTCAACTGGAACAAAAATCTCACCTCCTCCTCATACGCGGTTGAAGCCATTGTGGTTGTTGGGATGGAATCGCTAAAACTGGATGAGGACGTCAAGTCAACGATATTGGAGTTGGTGGAGAGCAGACAATCAGGCTGACGATCTGATTGCCGAAATATGCGTGAAATTACACCAATGCTAATGCCGACCCGGCCCTAGGCTAAGGGGCCTAGGTAGGCCTAGCCTAGGCCAAGGCCGTCTCGTGATAGACGTGATTCAAGCGACGGAACCTTGGCCCTCGCTTAACCAACCTGCATTCAAAGACAAAATGTCCAACCAGTATAGATGCAACTACTTTCGACTAAGACATTTTAGAAGGTAACAGCATCAACTGCATCAACCTCAGCTAATAGTTTGAACTTCATATGACGAAGTACGCTATCAAAATTCGGTAGAAGGAAATTGCTCACACAACACACACCCACTGGTCACCCAACGTCGCCATGCTTCCATAGGAGACCCGGCTGACGCATAGAGCACTCTATGGGCTGACGACGGAAACATACAGTGTTGCCGTGAATTATTTCATAATCTCACTTGAACAGTATCAAGAAGATACATTTTGTTTCACTGCTATCTCTGAAAAGGAGTCAGCTTTGAGTTGATCCCTCTGGATTTACTTGGATTCCATTCACTTGACACAGGAGAGGCTCCCTTTGGTACGTTCAAATCATCAGGCACGTGTTAGCATGAATCATCACCCGCCAACAGTTAATGATGCGTTCCGCGAAGTGTCAGACCCTCTTCTTGTGCCAGACCACATCTTCCTGAAGAAACTTGAATTCTATGGCACTCAAGTATTTTCGCTTAAATGATTCTCCTGGTCCAAACATTGGCTTGGGATTCCATGGAGAACCTGGATGCCTTATTTTCAGTGGTGCATTTTACGGGGGGTTTGCCCTGCCCTGGTGCCTCTGATGCCCCCTGGAAGGTAATAATTTGCACCCATGATATTGCTCTGATGGGATTTGACGTCCCCACTCTGCTTCCCCTTCCCTCCCGTCCCTCCCCCCCACCCTCTTCTCCCCGATTCCTCATCCAAAATACGCCTCTACCTATCAATCATCCGTTTTGTAAACGATTTATCTGTACGTCATTTCCAAGCAAGATGTTTCCTCTTCCCGGATGACGCAATCGCCCTCCCACATCTTACTATGTTAAAAAAAAATCCGACTTGTGCCCCCCCCCCCATCACACATTTTTTCCATCCACGCTACCCTTATGGTAGGCAGTCCTGAGTAATATGGGGGGAAAGTCAGTATGCAGCGTATTTGTGTGATGTTTGAAGGAAGAAGTCTTGAAAGACATTGGCAAGACTGGCAGAAGCGTATAAAGTAGGAATCCTACACCAAAGTGCTAAACTAAACTACTGTATAAAATATAGGATGGCGACATCTCGCAGGCATGACAAGTTGCGCATGGTGAATCAATTAAAACACTTAACAAATTTTGGCACAGGGGCTGACGTCGCATTCCATAATTTGCATATGATCCAGAAATGCCATACGAAATGCAAATACGCTTCTGATATACATACCGTTATGCATCATGAAGGGGACAGGAGTGCAGAGAGGGCGGATACTCAAGCTTTCCTTCACAAATTGCAAGCCTTCAATGCAGATTATGCTTCGGCGGCGCCTCGTTGCAAGATTTGGAAGGTGCTGCAATTATGGAATGATTGCACCCCAGATAGCAAAGATTTGCTATAATGCTGTGATTCCCCATGAGTCACTTGTCACGCATGCGCGATGGCACCTTCCAATACCTTAAATAGCGCTCCGATGTGGGACACTATAATCACCCTGTAGGTCCGCCATGATCCAAATGCACTTGCAAGTGACAGGAATAAAGCGTACACTGATGGTTAGAGTGAGACTGAGGGTAAAATACAGGAAAACCAATCAACTGTTGATGAGTTGGCCTACATTCAACTTGGTCGCGGGCTCTTGCAAGAATACATTGAACAGAGCTGACGTTATTTCCATTGGAGCCCTTGCAACTTCAAAAACTTAAATAAAACGAATAGTTTCGTTTTGATCCGATTCTATGCATTCGCCCTGAATGGAACTCTGACTGCACTCATCTGCGTTGACAGACTCACGGTGACTGGGCTCACAGGAGCCGACAGAAACGGGAGGGATGGCCAAAAGCGAGGGAGCATGGAATAGTGGAATAGAAACTAGCATCAGGTGGGAAGAACACAGGACTGCCGGTCGTGATGGGAAAGTAAGTGTGGGGGGATAGAGAGTAAAGGTCAATAAAGGTATCCGTAAGGTGTCTATGGGCAACTGTTTTTGCCTGCCATTCCCATAGGTACTATGGGAAAATGGTGGGTATTATGATCGATCGGTAACTTTTTCATTTTCATTCCGTCTGCCCGCAGTTTCCATAGTAACTTGACAACTTTATTCAATGCGCATGAGCAGCCTTAAGCCTGAGTTAGGGTGCTAGTCAACGACTTAAACTTCCAGCTCCCTTCCCGCTCTCGTGGATGACAGAAAAATTGTAGACAGAAGGAGGGCAAGCGGCTGCTCGCGGCAGCCAGGTGGCAGCGTATCATCGGATTGGAAGGTCTTAAAAATCATAGCATCAGATAAAAGCACCACTGTTCCTTAAAACGTACCTGTGGACCATTCCTAGTATTACACCAAGCTATCGCGCCTTGATTCTGAGGGAAAATCAGCAAAGGAATATTATTTGAGGTCATACAGTAGACATAATAGACTAAGGCGCAAAATATGACCGGAAATCTGGGATAAATGATTTTCTCTCACAGCCACCGTTAATGAAACCTTGATTTCTTCTATCAGGACCTCCCGGTAAAAGACCGAGTAGTTCAAGCAACTAATGTGTTGATGAATAAATACCAAATAATTAATATAGGGCGGGGCAAAAATGAGAAAACATTGGAATTTTTAGCGATTTTAATTTTCCTTCTTGACTAACCTTTCATGACTGCCCACAGCTCTCAGTATCTCTTGCTTTGATTGTTGCAGCTGTGTGGACACTTGGGCCAGAAGTGCTGTTTGGCCGGCTTCTTCTCTTGCCAACCAGTTTGTTTAGACATCGAGAACACTGCCGGTTGTACAGAATTTTGCTGTCAAATTTGAGATACAGTGGATCGATGGTCTTGGCCTATTTGGGGACTTTTCAAGATAATCACATTAGTTTACTGCAAACTATTTTCTGGTTTTGCGTCAACAACTCCTCTCGTTTTTCGGTTTAATACACCATTATTACGTTATTTCACAACGCTAAGTCAGAAATCACTTTCAAATGTCGTTCGTCAAATCATGGCAAGATTGTGCAAACTCGAGCATGGAGGTCACCAACATGAACAGCAATGGAAATGACACATTATCACCAAAAGTGCCATACTTATTCTGGGTGGGTAACAGTCGTTCATTTGCAGCCGATTTCAGTGGACGCAGCTGGAGCGTCCTTCACTGGACTTCAACTATTGTATGCCAAATTGATGGGGAAAAGGTACAGAAATGCGCTGCCATCAAGCAGTCACTTCCTATGTTCCTAAATTCCTATGTTCCCATACTTTTGCCCCATCCTGTATTCCTTTACTACACATAATGAACTCTTAGCCTAATTCTTTCAGGCACTGGAGAGATTGGCTCCATCATGAGATTATATTGAACCATCACCAAACTTTCATCTTTTTTTCATAATATGGTTTCATCGGTGTTGCAATCACCATATTTGCATGGATCCACTCTAAAGATCTACTTTAAATAATCAAACGTATACGTTTTTTCGCCATAGCAACCCTTTCGAGGAATGGGCTTTTCTTCACTTATGGTATGACCTGTTTTACCTCCAAGATGAGATTGCAATCTTATAATCCTCGGAGCTCCTGGGGGGAACCAGTGCAATTGATCTCCTTGTGCCTTTGTCTGGGAGAACAGTATAGCACTGTACCTCATATTTCAGTTTCTGATTGCTGTGTTGTTCGTCTTAGAAGTGCCACGGCTACTAATTAGCTTTCTAGCAACCAGTAAGTTGGAGCAGTGGAATTAGCTCATATACATTCCCAGTTTTAATGAAGACAGGAATTTGCAAGCATTTGCTGAGAATATGGATCCACACCCAAAATGTCACGATTCCAATGGAAGCTCGGTCCATCCCAATTGGACAAGAAAGAAGGAAAGAAAGCCCTTTGAAGGCTATATTCGTCCTGCAGGCAAGTAGACAAATTACTTTCTTTCTTTTGCCATGAAAATCAAATTGACGACTTAGAGCTTCATCAATAAAGTCCAGTGGTCGGTTCATGACATGTGGTAAAATGACTGAAGGAGAGTTTGAGGTCAGATTGATTAAAATTGATGATGAAATCATCTGGTGAAGATAATAAGTAATTAGTGATGCAAGTTAAAGAAACTGAGTGGCCATAGAATACATTCCGGTGATGAATCGTTACTTCTTCGTGATGGAGTAAATATAATTTGATGATGAATCAAATATTCAATACCTACCATATCGAAATCCCCCCTTCAACTCAGGTCCCCCAGCATCCACCAGCGAGGCTTGTGAGCACCAATTGCAACATTTTGGGCCTGTCTTGCAATCATTGCGAAGAGAAATACCTGACAATAACATTGCCTGACGCTCTGGACTGAAGACGGAAGAGTGAAGTGCTTTATTCAGATTAAATGCCGCTTTGAAACGACTCGAACACTCCTTTGCCAAACTGTAGCTCTCAGCTCATTTCAACGTTGTATGTTATTGACCATCCCCATGCTGTAGTGAAGGCATTGAAAACGGCTCCTGAAGTCACAAAGAGAGAAGAGAAAAATGAGACCCTAAGAAATGTGCGTGGGCCGGCGTACCGACACGACGACAGCACCCTCTGACGCTGTTGGATGACTGACAAGATCCTCCAGAATGCCGTTACTGATGCCAAGTCTATAAAATCAATTAAAAGCCAAATCCTCCAATAGGGGAGGAGCTGGGTCGTACTAGCAGAGAGGGATCGAGAGGGATCTCTCATAACCTGTAAAAGACTTCGAATGAATGTTGTCAGAATTCAATTCCTTAAGGACAGGCGACGAAAAAGAAAAGTCATTAGTGCCAATGAATTTGGCAAGGTCTTCGCTTCTACAGGAGGAATAAAGAGAAATCTTGAAGTGCTTCTGACGTCACTCGAAGGGCAGAAGCCGAACTCGTATCCTCTGAGCGGGGAGCGAAGAATTTGTCAGAGAAAAACCGAAAACAAAGTGAAACAGGGAACTTACAAAAAACGGGCATCGGCCTGCCTGATTTGAAGTCTGAGGACCAGAAGAGAAAGAAAGGAAGATGAAGGAATTCGCCTGCCAAATGCCTATCCTCGGCGGTCGTTGTAGTTTTCGGGATTGATAGGACCTTCTCAGCTTTCAGAGATGGAACCCGATCAACCACAGAAGAGGAAGTCCAAGAGGCCGACTCAAAAGCCGACTCAAAAAATTCAGACAATATTGAAATTAAAGACTGTGACGCGAGAGTCGCGTCTTCCTTGACTTCCTCCGGGAAGAAAATGGGGACCGAGAGGGAGAAAGAAAGAGAGAGAGAGAGGAAATAAGAACTGAGAGTCAGTCTGAACATTTTGTTGCTGACTGTCCTTGTTTTGATTATCCAAAAAATGTGTGCCAGACACCTGGATATCGTTCGACCATGGTCCCAGTAAATCCGGATAAACCAGAGGATACTGACAGAAATTGATTAGTCTCTACGATTGAAACAAAAAGGCCACGACAACGTATCCTAATGAAAAGGCCATTTGCTTGTAATCTACTCCGCAGGAAACACAGTAGGAGCTCCAGCGCTCATGTCCTATAATGCTGGATTGTCACCAGCGTGGTAAAAAAAAAAAATGTTATAACCACCTGACTTATATAACTAAGTCGTTTCATCAGGGTCTGCAGCTGCAGAGATGTCTGATCCGAGAAGGAACGAAGTCCCAAGGTCGAAATAGCCATTTTTCAAGCGACGTCCTCATCAGGAAAGAATCGATTTTCAGACTGGAATACCCTCTCCCCATAGAACTGCCCTTGATCAGGGGATCCACCCCGTCTCTGACAAAAATACCTTATTACCTCATTTGCTAACAGAGACTCAGGCACCTTTTCCATAGCCTGAACCTGGACTGAAGAAGCTAGAAAAGGGAAGAGGTGCCAGGGATCGAACCCGAGGTTTTTCGAGGATGAGCTTATTGCACTTTGTTGACAAATTTTTTGGAAGTGTTTGAGCTGTTGCTATTTCCTTCAAATCCTGGGGTGGCATGCACCAATTGAGGAATCGGATTAAAGACGAGATGAACACGTTTACCAAAACATGTTCAAGAATGTGCTAATCATTGACACGCAGCACCGAAAATCAGATTGGTTTCCATGAACACGTTTACCCACGATTTAAACATTATTAAAGGCGGCGTGGTTGCACTTTGAAGGAGACTGATGAGTATAGTGCCAGCTTTGCTGCTCCATTGTCCACATCGAGTCGGCGACGGTGTCCTTGAAAGAAACCTTCTTCGAAATGCGTCCCTAGTGAACCATTGGAGAAAAATCGAGCCGATCTTCCCGACACGGTTTGGTTCAGGATCACGTTAAAAACTTCTCTCTTCATTCGTTTTCATTTCCACCCTCGCTAGATGATGAGAGGCAAGAAAATTGAGGTCCACTCCGGCAAAACAGCATGCTGAACTTGCCTCTGAGAATCCGTTAGGGAGTTAAACCTGCTACGGAACAAGTTTATCTTTCAATATTTGTTTAAGGGAGAAGTAATCTTATTTAATTTGGGGCATGTCACAAATCAGTTTAACGATGACTTCCACTCATTCTTCAACATATTTTCCCGGAATCAGTTTAGCTCCTAGACTAATGTGGTGCATGTCACACTAATTTCATGACAATGCTCATTTCTCGAGGGCAAAGAAAAGCGCCTCGTTAACGCTCAACGAACGCCATGTATTGATGATCAAAGGGCGCCTTAATTGAGCGTCCAAAAGCTGCTCATCCCTGAACCTTGAACGTCGAAGTACTTCTTTGAGCCAGGGTCGAGCGTTCTTGTGCTACTTGGGATATGTCTTCTCAGGTGATTCATATGATGGGAATTTTTGTTTCCTTGCTGTTAAGGGCCTCCGTTTGCACGATAATAATGCCTTTTTACTTAAATTACTTTTTAATTTAAACTTTCAATCGAAAGGCTTTGACTTATTCTTAATTATGGGGATCGAATGGGAATGGTACCTCTTAGCCGATGACACCCATGCAAAATCCCCATTTTCTTCATGTTTAAATTTCTCTTACGCAATTCGGATAATAAAGGTAGCAGTCTGAGAGACTACGCGAGTGAAGAACCCACGTCTTTATTCTTGACAAATGCATATATAATGCGATGAACCTAGGTGTCATTCCCTAGTCTTGACGACAGAGCCATGATGAGGGGTATCGAGTCGGATTTTCCTTTCAGAGAAGCAGCCCCTCCGGAAGGATCTGACCGTGGAGATACCTAGGTCGGCAAGGTCCGTTACTAAGGCCACGTAACAAGGGGGTCCACCAGCGAGGATGCACACTTGAGATCCAGTGTAGTTCGGCAACCTATCACGCACGGAACATGTTCACAACTCAAGGATCCCCAAAAGGTAAATAAAGGAAATTCTTCTTATGTTGGGGCGTTTTCTGAAGACTCACGTGTAGACAGTCCAATCACTGCCGGTGGTGGTGATGGAATCAATCCTGGACATGGAGGCTGGCACGCTGGGCACGTCAATTCCCGAATAAAACTCCTCACCGCTGAAGTACTCGTGTTCATAAAGGGTGAGGGAGCTGATTCTACAGTCTCCTCCGTGACCTGCATACCTTGAACGGTACGTCGGCATGGCATTATAGTGTGAAGAGATGAGAGACCTGCTATGTTTACCATCTCTCATGGACTTACCTGAGAGATGAGACATCATTGCTTACACTACCAAAAGAAAAGCAGTAGTCCTGTCCCCACACCCATGACATTCCTCCATAGTCGTTGGGATTGTAGCCATACTCGCTATAGAACATCCATCTGCGAAGAAACAAGTTGTATAGCTGGGGTTGTATGCATGGGAGTCCCGATGTCCTGCATAATTTTCTCATAATCAAATTTCTCTACCCTATGAGCAAAGAGGGAAAATATATACAGTACTGTATATTCATCCTACTGGAAACATATTGTCTAAACTATCCAATCCGTAATTGCTTGCTTTGTCCCATCGTCTGGATTTTGCTTTAGAACCCGATTTTGAACAAACGATTGCTCCACATCGATGCCATATTTCTGCAGTATATTCAGGTCATAGCATTTTGACATTTCTGCGAGTGGAAATAGAAAAGTTCAAGAATTGGGCACATGATGGCACTGTCTACGAACGACTTGAAAATGTGCACCATTCAGTCCCATCAGTGTATTCGTAGCTCACGCGCGACCTCGTGCCAAAGTTACAGCCATATCCCTGCTACCCTGTCAGCTATGGCATGAAGCAACAGTGAGTTGCGATTGTGAAGCAGCTTTGTGTCATTGACTTCTGCGTACAGTTGAGGAAAGACACCCACAGAAACATGCTGAGGCATACAGGGTACCTCGGAGTTACATGGTGCTTAGTTTAAGTGGCAATTGCGGTTTTAAAGGCTGCCAAACGTTTACAATGTTGATGTTCGTAATCACGATCGACATACACATTGGAGGTGCTGCTAATGTGATGTCATTTGCATGCGAAGAAGGTACAGTCATCGGATGGGCACATATTTCCAATAGTTTCCCAACGCCCATGCGTCACATTGTCTCGTACTTCAATTCAAATATATGAAACTATCTGACATGATACTTCACTTGCTTGTTCTCTCTTTCTCCTGCTGTTTTACTATCTTTAATTCATTATTGTTTAATTTTTTCCTTAGGTTACATTTTTAAGGGTAAGGTGCACCAAATGCATTGAGGTGACACACTCATCATGGAGAGTGAGTAGTATAGATTCATGTTGGACAGGACATCAGAACTGTCATTTTCTACGAATGAGTCAACGGAAAAAGCAAAGGAACAATGCAACAACTCACATGCCAGTGAGTTGTTGCATTGTTCTGCCTGATGCCTGATGAGAAAAAAACCAGACGTGATGCCATAGACACCTAGACGATAAGCATGAGGAAAGATCCTGCTTCACCGAGACGCTTTATGCAGGACCAGACACATGAACTGGTCTGTATGATACTGTTAATCAGAACCAAAGAGTGAGAATCGATCTGCCTCCTACCAGAGGAAAAGGACGCATTCTGGTACCTGTACCCATCTTTAGGCACACTGTACGGAATAATGGACGAGCATTTTTCCTCCAAGTTTCATATCCACCTAGTGAAAATCACTACAATTGAATTCGCTGGATAATCCCAAAACGCACATCATAGCAGTTTTTAATAATCCTATCCAATATTCACGTAACTATGGTGTGTTTTTCGCGCATTACCTAGGTAAACCACAACAAATGCATTGGGCGGTATTGCTGAATAACCCCTCGAGCTGGTCATTTTTCTGCAAGCTACCCACTCTACGGCGGTATTTTGTGGAATTCGACTGCGCGCCACATGCACAAAGAAAAAATTTCAGAACACTCTTATTCCTGATTCAATTTGCCTGAAATTCATTTGACTCACATCCAGCAGGGACCGAGAACGTACTTGGGATACCGGCGTGGGAAGTCAAGCAGAATTAGCGCTTACAGGGTACTAGTGTAAAAGCCCGTGCACGGGCTGAAATAAGTCGAATCAGAACGTTTCGTGCATGTCTTTTTGCTCTCTTCGTCAGTTTCACTGTTCGTGGAAGCAGCATTTTATGCACGTCGTCATGCACTTTCATCCACTGATTGCGACTCCAGAACTTCTCTCTTTCTCGCCCGTTCAGCAGATCCCGGCGCAGAATAGTTTACACTTCCCAATCTTTTTCGTGGCATTTTGAGAACCCCAAAATTTTAAATGATAATAAAGAGCACTACCTCAATGCTGGAAACTTACGTGAAGACTGTCGTAATACCGGCGACTGGACTGGTAACGCGACAAACTATGACACATGATCATTGCCGGCAGTTACCATAGCGACAACTTCCTTAGCCGACAATGCCTCATACCCTCATTGTTGGTCGTGAACTCTTCCCCCGGGAAGGCATTCAGTACAATGCTATTCTTATCGCCGAAATTCGGCCCCATGACGTCAAAATGGTAGGACTTTTTGAACTTTCGATTCAATAATTATCGTCACCAGGTTAGAGGCGTTCAATTGTCACCTATAGTATTAAAATGAGACACACCGAACGAATTTGGAACTCTGAGGAACCAGATGGAGGGCGGGAAGATGGTTATGGTTGGTTGGAAGATGGTTACTGTCTCAAGAGAATCCCAATTTCCCTTTTTGCAACAATATCCAGTGAGCTCTGTCTCATGGCACTATAAAGCGACGCAACTTTCAATTTTCAGACCGACATGCTTTCGATTATAAGAGGATGCGTTCCGTCTTTAGGGAAACTCCAATCGCCTGCATGCAAGAGTTCCGCACAGCAAAGTAGAAACGTGCAAGGAGCGGCACAAATGTGAGACGTACGAGAACATATATGTGTCATTCGGGTCCGCATGCGTACCTCCGTCCGTATCTTTGCGCGGATGTCGTCCAGACGCACGCATGGGTACGTTGCAGACTCACATGTCCAATCCAATGCTCAAAAGAGGCATGAGATGGCGTTAGTGTGGACTTGGCGTCTATTTGTCTCCACGATAACTTTTGCTGTTTATGAGACAGCCAGCACCTCCTATTGCGTCGCGGAGACATTGCCAAGTCGTCATCGTCTCATCCGCGACAGTTCGCCGATCGTCGGAGACATGGCAACGGATGATGGCATCATCAAAGCTCACTTCAATGCTCCTCTAAGCTGAAAATTGAGGTTCATAACCAGGTGTTTCAACGCCATTAAGCCCGAAATGAAGCACATATGGGATTCTACAGTAAATAAGGACCCCATCCACAACTTCTGAATGGAGATAAGAAACGAACACATTTGTAACTTATTGATATTTTGCTTCGGTACCTTTTCCAGGAACGTATTTTACGACACACGTTTGTACCTCATAACGTACAAAATATGTACCTCACTGCACGTTTCTGCTTTGCTTTGTGCGAGTTTCGCTTCGTAGCCTTAAAGAGAGGCCCATCGTTCTAATGTAAGAACGTCCGGATAGAAAAGAGGAAGATTTTGATCTTGGCCGGGATGCGGATCGGTTCGATAAGGCCGACCTTATCATCAGTCAGATCTGATCGATCTGATCGATCTGATCATCGGTGTCGTAGATCAGTTCACAATCAAGTTTCTGGTCGGGTGCGAGTGAATGCGCAATCGAAGATATCGAGTTCTGAAGCTCAGAGGACAAAACAGGCTTTGAACCGGTTTCGTTTGGCAATCGAGTTTCAGGTCGAGTGCGGCTCAGTGTGAAGGCGTTCAGTATAATGTTGTTCTTATTGCCGAAATTTGGCCCTATTGCATGAAAATGAGACGATTTTTTGGAATTTTGATCTAAGAAGTATCGTCTCCGACCATAGCTTTCGATTCATAAAAATCTGTTAATCTGTCTCGGAGGATGAGTTTCCCCGGAATGATACCCTGACACAGACAGATTATCCTCTTATGTATTATGCTTATGTATATGGATGAGAGATGGTCGGGCATGAAATTCACACAACTCATCCCTATTAAAGAGGTCCTTTTCGGCGCATACGGAAATTTTCATGAGTTTCAAATTTCCCGATATAGCTGTCTTGCACGGTTTCCCATGCAATCGGCACGCTTCGCCACCCTGTCTTCTTACACAGAATCCCCTTCATTCTGAACCGTTCCACCCTGCGCAGTTCTGCGCAGATCTGCGAGGGTCCCTCCGTCTCCCAGCTCGTTCGACGATCGCGTTCGGGTGCAGGCCACTATTCGAAACGGGCCGATCGAGTTTCAACTCGGAAAAGTCAACCCTTGCAGGCCTCTGATTGATACAAAGACTGGAGGACCCATAGAAACAACGTTGGCAGCGCACTTTTTGGACTGTTGACCCAATATGTATCGCCTCCAGGTCATGAGCTTTCGATTGACACCTCAACTATTAAAATCCGTTCATCCGTCTAAGAGGAGTTTCCCAAAACGACACACAGATTAGTCTCTTATGTGGATGGATGGATGGAGAGGCTGCGACCCTACGAGAAGACTGTTTGCTTCTCCTCCATCTACACTTAAGGCAGGGCATCTTGTATTGAGTACCAAGCACAGCCATATCGACGCATGAAATGCCTCCGAGTGGAATCTTACTTCAATCCATCAGGCAAGGAAACTGATCCCAACCCGATTGTTTCTTTAACTTCGGAAATAGAATATTCAGGTATTCAGTAATTATCAATACATGTCTTTCACTTTATTTATGGTTTCAGACTCGATTCATTTCAAGCCTAGTCTTAGTTTATCTCTAGTTAACGGGGTTTCCTAAACTGAAGGTAACTACGATTTCCAAGTTTAGTGAGTTGACTAGAGATTTACTGAAACAGGAATCAAGCTGAAAATACAGGGAATATCCATTTGTACTCAGGATTTCTTGACAAACTGAAACTAGCATCCATTATATGCGATGCTTCTCGAGGAGCCAATGTCCGAAAACCCCATTTTCCCTGATTTGGGAGGATCGAGAGGCTGCGATGAAACTTCGGAATGTTTCAGAAGCCGCGCAACCCTATTTACAGCTCTTTTTTTTGTTGAGGAACTTGAATTTAGTATTGGGGGGATTGAGAATTTCTGAATGATGTGTTGTTAACGTTTAGCATTTACGGTTTATGTGAAAAATACGGGACCCACAAAAACTAATGCAATAGCTGATGTGCATGTATTCCAGTTAAATATATAACAACATTTGTTCATATATTGAGTTGGGCGATTTTTTAAATACCATGCGACGGAAAACAGCGTTGCTCGCACCAAAAATCTAAACAATGACGCATCTTCGTGGAATCGCACATAAGTCTTAGGTACACTGGTGTAGCATTGAAATGTTATTTGGATCATTGCTTGAGGAAG